GAGCGTGAAGCAGCAAAGAACAAGGAAGTTACGTTCAAAAAACCTGTCTCAACGTGCCAGGTACGTGCCGAAAGAATTTGCTGTGCTTCATCCCTTCCCTCCTCAACCCTCTCCCCAGCATATATAAGTCAAAGGTGGCAGTAGCAGCATTGTGTCTTCTATGCCTTCCCATTGCCCCTTTTCAAAGCCTCACCCCTTCATAGGCACAGGAACAGGCATACAGCTGTGCATAGCCCTTCCACTGCAACGAGAAAAGTGAAGCCTCATATGAAAGGATCATAACTCGTCTATGCTTTGTGAAAACATGAAAAGCCTCCATGTCCACAGTGTGGCTACACTTGGCTTTCTACTGGAAAGGTTAAGTACATTTTCCAAAACAATACAGACACTGGGGTTAAGGCTTTCTACTGTAAAGGTTAAATACATCTTCTGAAACAATATAAACCCTAGGGTTAAGGAAGACCTCACCCCAGAAGACAACAATATCTATCTTTCAATTAAAAGCGATTCCTGTAAAGTAAAAACTGCTAGAAGAGCCAGCCTTTACTGGAAGAATACATGTTCTGTCTATAATATACACACCCATGTTCTAGTTTAAATTTTCAGTAACTAATATTAGGAACAAAAATAAATGCAAAACACTGAAGCTGCTCAGAGAGGGGCAAATAATGAACTCAATTTAATTCCTCACAGAACAGCTTATTCAGTAATACATAATACTACAGTGTCTATTGCTTTTGTAATTAAGTCTTAACTACTGATTCCCTGCTAGTTATTTCAAAATTTAACTCGTGTTTTTTTTTCTTCCAAGAAGTTCATGATTTACTACCAGAATGACAAAGACTTTCCAAAAAGGCTCACCGTAAAGATTTTTCCCATTTTTGTTTTCGTGTTTGGATTATTTAACATCAGAAATGTACTTTTAAGCATTTCCTCACTTGCATTAGCTACAGATAATGCAAGACAAGTCCCAAGGACAATGTTAAGTGTCTGAAACGGGTAATGAATACTCTGTCTAGACAAGAGATACAGACAACACCGTTCATCTTCTCTCAGTTCAGCCATCTGCTAACAGCTTTGATAGCAGGCTAAATACCTGTAAATGCCTGCATCTCTTACATTAAGAAAAAAACTTAGTTAGCCTTGTCTAAATAGAGAACAAACTTAATCCTACTAACATCTATTTAACAATTAAATCAGCGTTCTACTGAGGGGTTAATGGCAGGCAAAGCCAGGAGCTATTTTGTATTCTTATCTTGCACATAGATAAATCAGCAAACTACAGATAATACTTTTCAAGTGACACTCACCTGGTGCAGCTTCTGCCAAAATTCAGGTCCTTCCTCCATTTTTCTTAAGCTTGGTGGAATGTACCAAAAGCAAACGTTTGCATACTCCGGCTGAACAACAGAACAAGTGATTATGAAATATTACAAATGCTTATGAAATATTACAAATAGGATAGAAATACACATTATAGCCGATGAAAATGTTCCAGATTATGTTTCTTTAAAAAAAAAAAAGCCTTTGAATTTAGCTCTTTTCCCAAAATCTCCTCTTCTGACTCCATGAATATTCTGTTTCCCTTTTTTGAAACTAGAAATAATTTTCATACTGTCTGCTTCTCCTGCTGCTGCCAGTAAAAGGAAGCCTGTTGCGGTTCCTTTTTCTTTTCTTCTACATTCATACTTAAACTCTGCTTTGCTCACTAAAAATTTTGATTAGGAAAGAAAGTACAGGAGAAGTATAGAGAACTTTCCTGATAGATTTCAATTGAAGTAACTTTAAAGGGAAGAGTGCCTTTTTTTTTTTTTAAATAGAAGATTCCTACTTTGCTTTTCCCCAAAAACACACCTTATGAACTCCTAATTTTTGACACCATTTAACACATGCACATCTATGCCTTTTTCTACTCAATAACATGCACCTCCTTTTACATCATATAGTGTACAATACACTATATAGTGCTGGAGTTAATGCTGGCCTTTTCAATGCCTTTATTTTACAAGGATCCCAAGCCCTTCTGGCATGATATGTTGCCATATCTTCGATATACCTTGTCTGCTTATCTGAGCAGCTCTTTTGAGCAAAGACAGACAAGATATCTCTGCTTCCCTACAGAGAAATTTTGCCCTTAAACCCAACAGAGCTAGCTGCAAGCCTCTTGGCAAGAACAGGCGTTCATCATGCATTAAGGAAAAAAAGTGGAGAGGGGCAGGGGGGAGGATTTTGTGCTTATGAGGTTTCTACTTCATATGTGCTTGAGAAAGTGTTCCCAGCAGACTACTGCACAGCCTGCTAAAGTTTCCTACTAATTTGGAACAAATTTGTTTTATTTTTTACCAGTACAGATAGCAATCACGTGAGGAATAGATGTGTGTTCTAATCCCATCCAATACTACCCATGAAAACACTCCGCTCACTTAATCTTGACCTACACTGCTTGCAATTCAGTATTTAACTGGGGTCTAGATTATAACATGGACTATAAACACTCACATCCTTCTCCCCTCCCATACGCCATCCTCATTAGTACTGGTTGAAGGAAAAAAAAAAAAAAAAAGGAGTTAAAAGGGAGCTTGACAGCTGGGCCACACCATCTCTTTGCCCTACTGAGAATGTGCTGCTATTGCAATCTAAGGCAGTCTCCTGAATGAGGAGAGCCCACCAGCTGAGACATGTTCTTTCATGAAAGGGCATTGGGAACCACTCATATCATTTTCTGCCTCACTTCAAAGGATGCATTAAGTACAATTTAATCATAAAGGAGAATATCGTTGTCAGCAGAAACAGACCTGCAGACCTGCCACCCCCTGCCACAGAATGAAATAAGGCTCAGCTCTTAAAGTCCCATTTCTTTTCCCACCAAGCATGCACCAAGTACACACAAACACAGATCCTGAAAAGGCAGCGATTTCCTCATAAGCACGAGCACTAGCTGACTGTTACGGTTTATCTTAAAACAGTTTAAAAAATAGATGACAGGGCTAGGCAGATATTGCCTTTCCTTATATTGCCTCCTTGATTATCTCAGTTTCCTTTTACACATCAGATACATTATTCCCCTCTGAAAATGCCATTCGTCCTAGAAAAAACTAACTACCCCTAACTATGCTTCACCATTTCTGGTCCTCTTGTCACAGCTCTTATCCAAGCAGGTAAGCAATTATATCACAGAGGAGTTCAGGCTGACTCATGCACCGGTAGCATTTCCGAGCCATAGAACGGTTCTCGTTAGAGGACTTTCCTCACCGCACACATCAGAGAATCATCTTCCTGAGTTCCCTGTCTAAAGTCCAATTTCCTTTCAGAAAGGGCTCGCAGAAATGGGCCTAGCTGCCTATCAAAAACCTTGCTTTAAATTCCGACTCCTTGTCCTCCTGCACTCCTGAAAACCTCTCTTTAACCCTCGTGCAATCTCCTTCCCATAGCCCATACCATATCACTGCCTCCAGCCCCGCTCCTAATCCTGTTGCCCTGGTCCTGGAGGAACTAAACAGCAACCTTAGCTCTCGCCGTCTTTCATATCTACCATAGACCTGACCTCTCTGCTAAGCTCTACATTAATGGAGAAGGGATAAGTCTAACATCCCTGCCGCTTTAGTACCCCAGTATGTGTTGCTGCCCAGAATTTTTCACTCCATGTAGTTTCCCAGTATGCATTTTCAAATAAATAGTTCTCAAAAAGAAAATTTTATTTTCTCATTTCTTCCAGCCTAACCTGGAAAGTTCATTGCATCAGCAAGTATAAATCAAATCTGCATCTGTATTTGTGCTGTGTTGTTCTCCATGTGTCACATTTTCTCTCCCTTCCTCCCCACTCTGTGTGCTCTCTTCCCCCACCCCACGCTACACACCCAGCCATCTTTCACACATGTACACTTCCAACAGTGCTGAAGGCTTTTCTAAAATGACAGGTCTTTTCAATGTCCCCACATATTGGTCTTGCTAACCAAAGAGCTAGGGATAGAGTGAGAAATGGAGAGCTGTAGCCCTGCCTGTTTTACTCACTCTGCTCTGCTCAAGCTCATCATCAAGAAATAAGCTGACAGATTTAGCAAACACGGATGAAAAATGCAACTTTTTTGTAGTTTTCAGGAAGATGGAAATAGAAACCCAATTAAGGAGAAAAAAAGGCACTGATTTTAATGATGAAGAGTCCACCTTAGGACTCACTATTCTCACTATTTTTCCATTCAACATATAGTCTTTCTCACAGGTCTGGCAAGCCACAGTGTTTTGGTTCACCATACTATTGATTTCTGCAGAAAAGCGCTTCATCTACCCACCCTGAGGCAACATAGGCCCTGAAGCTGAGGAAATGAGTAGACTGATGATATGGATAGAATACCAAGCATGTTACGCATTCAAGCACATCTCTGCCTTTACAATATATAAAGCTGATTAGACACTTCAAATATAAGTTCCATATTCACTTACCTCCAACAGAAGCTGAAATCCCTCTCTTTTCTTAATTTCCTCTACTAGATATCTGTAATTAAAAATGCAGGGTTTTACAACACAGAACACCACAATACATACCACCAACCACAAAAGGAGGTCTTGAACATTTATACAGACTTAAAAAAAAAATAAAAGTTCCACAGAGTTAAACTTCATTTCTACCTGCTGTGAAAATGCAGCAGCTATCAGCCTCTGAACATAAAGACTACAGCCAGCCAAGGAGCACTAAGGATAGGCCGAATTCTGTCCTCAGGCACAGATTTTCAATGGAGCTTTGCGGTACAAATTCATCCTATTTGCAGCAGGCTAGGAACTTGCCTGACGCAGTTTTCCATTGATGTTGTTCTCTGCAAATTAATTCCTCAGTCTCTTTTCTTCAACTGTAGATGTTGCTGCCTTCTGTCTTATTTCATGGCCACCCTGACATCTTTTGCACTTCCATCATTGCTACCAGGTTCCCTTAGTTTGGTTCAGACTTCAAAAATTGTTCGTGTACTTCCAGTCTATCGGTTTTTCCGGTACTGTCCTTCTTCCACATTTTACACAACAGTGCACGTTTCCATCCAGTGACTCACTGCTGATATACAATAATCCCTATGCTAACAATGCTCTAAAATAAGTATTTTTTTCCTCTTTCTCCTGCTAGTACAAAAAACATGAAAGCTTTTAATGAATGGATGGATTTGAACCAAAACTTTGGATCCACACTGCTGCAAGTTATAGGAATTTTTAAAAATGTGACTTCAACTTTGCGACTGGCATATGTCACTCGGGAATTATGATCAAAGAGGACATTTTGACAGAGCTAGGACTTCTGTCCTTATTCCCCTTCCCAAAGCCTTCCCAAGGAAAACTCCAAATAAGTCATCTCAAATTCATACAGCATTTCCCCTTCTCATCAGAATTTTACTCTTCCACACAAGATGGTACCATGAAGATTTCTGTCCAACACTAATAAGAGAGTTGGTTAAACTACCAACTGTGAACAAATCTGTTCTTTTAATTGCATTAATTTGGTATTTTGCTGCCTGCAGCTACTTTACTGGTCATTACCCAAATAATTCTTTTATTCAGTACTAGAGGAAGAAAAATACTGTCAAAATAACCCCCCTCAGTCCTATCCACATGCCTGAAAACTGTCCCCACAGGGAAACCACTTGCACAGTTGTATCAGCAAAGCCTGATATTTCAGCAGACATGCTGCGAAAACGGGTTGTCTAGGGAGACGGTAAATAACACCCTCGATGGTATACATTTTTCAAAACAGAGCCTGGGGAGTTGTCACATTGTTTATCATTAACAAGTATTGTGCATGTGACTCATTACCTCTTAGCACACATCCCTGTAAAAAAGATTGCTGTGCTAGAGTGCCAGTTCCAACAACATTCATCTGTAGGAGCTATGCTAAACTGTGCGCTGCTAAGATCTTTCCAAATGCTCACCGAAACAAGCCAAGGCTCTGGTTCTTTTCTGTCATGACCGTTTAGACTTGCTCCTACCGTGTGCATTTGTTACCCGGCCACTAAGGCCCACACTAGGGTTTAAAGAGGTTAAAAGAGAGGCAGGCTGCAAGGTAAGCAGGAGGCTAGGTATCTCGAGTGGAGGGGAAGGTGGCCAAGTGTGGGGGGGCAGGAGGATACTGTTTTTATAGGTGAACTGTCTCAAGTAACAGGCTCAGTGCGTCTGCTCTGCTGATAAGATACTTGTCTGCATCACAGAAAACAACATCCAGCACAACCAGCAGGCTATTCATAAGGCAGCATGCCTCAATACATTTTTTAAATACATCATAAAAAAGAAACTCTTTGTTAGGGACCTAAGTACAATTACCTCTTTTTTTGCAAGGTCCTAAATAGGGTTTGAGCTATTTTAGAATGATTAATATCTTGCCTTCTAACCCCAGGTATATTTTTTTTCAAACATCATCTGACATAGGACAGCTAATGTCAGTCCAGCTCACAACACTGTTAATCTTATCTTAACGGCACTGCCAATGACCTAAAAAGGCAGCCATTAGAAAAACCTATCACTCATGATTTATCTTGCCAGGACCATTTGATGGCAGTGGAGCAATTTTCTTTGTGCATCTTTCCACAGTTGACAGTGGAATTTTATTATCATGTCACGTTCGTGGAATGTCAAAACGGGCTGTGTAAGGACTAGAGGAAAGAAGTAGTAGCATTTGCAATGATTGAGGCTTGCAGAAAATGAGGGGTGGGGATCTGTAATGAGTGTAGACAGGTGTCTGTGTTAAGAGTGGGCATCATCATAAGAGGAATCAGGTGGAAAAACTGGTGGATGTAGTTATACTCTAAAAGCAGTTTACTCCTATTTTCTTTTTAGACCACTTCATAAAGCAACTTCCTTGCATCAAGGAAAAAATATATATATACACATATATATATATATAAATTTTCCAAAGTAATTAGCAGAATGCTCTCCTGAAGGTAGTTTAAAAATAAGCCTTTCCAAACAGATAGGATCACAGTATACCTGAGCTATCTAATCTAACCTAATATTCTGAAAATGTGATTCACTTCTAAAATAAGAATAAGTTAATGGAATAGCAAATAAGCAATGTTAATACAAAAGTAGTACACAACCGCAATTACCTTAAGACCTTTGCAACTCTGCCTGATCACAGAAAAAATTCTTGAGAGCAAGTTGTAAAGTCAGTGGACTAGTTCCAGAAACAATCCAGGTTAGCTCAGGAACAGTGAAATACTATCTCTGCAACAAAGTAAAACCTACTGTAACAGATCAGGAGAAGAGCTGCACAGCTGTTAAGTAGTTAAGAAACCTGGCATAGTGCCCAGTGAACCTGATCTCTCAGTGCCTGTGCCCATGCAAACTCAAGATAGAAAAGCAGCTACTGTGAGGAATATACATCAGATAATGACTGAGAATTAATTTGCTTCTCAAAGGACAGAAAAAGAGAAAGACAACATAGTTACTTCCTATAAAATGCTACCAGCTAATCCTAACATTCAAAGGAAATATCAGTCCCAGAAAGGTTATTAATCACTATACTCTCAAATGACCTTGACTAGTGACCTTGATATGGCTGAATTCTCCTACCGATAGTGAAACGAATTGCATACTCTGTATAGACACCAAACAGTACAATGCTCTGGAAAGAAAACAGGTGTTATTTACCCAGAAGACTTTTAGGAACACTTAACCAGCCACATAATGAGCGGCTTTGAAGAAATAAGAGAGAACAAGCTACAGCTCATTTCGGCTTTTCTGGTTTTGCTTTTTTTTCTTTATTCCTTTCTAACCCACATTGGTTTTAGGTCATGGATGTCCTAAAAACCTTTTCTTTAACTGACTCTTTGAAAGTGAGACTATCCCCTTAGTTTTCACCAGAGTAAACATTCAGTTACTGCTCTTTTCAGGTTAGCAGTTCATATCAAAAACAAAATGGTAATAGGGTATGGGTGACTGTTTTTAAATATTAATGACTTGAATTACAGTAGTGTGTAGCTACTCCAGGCATGGGTCAAGATTTATTATGGTACATGTTGAATAAATTCTAAATAAACAAGATACTTTAAGCAAATTATTTTTAATGGTCCATTATCTTATTTCAACATTACTTCTTCTATCAGAAGACAAAACAACTTTTCTAAGGAAGTTTCTACCCAGAAGATCATCCAACCCATCACCATCACTTTGGAAACAGCCTCTAGCAAGAATTTAGCAGAAGTTACTTGTGAAACTCAGTGCTGCAAGACCAAAATCTTAGTAAAATTTAAAAAAAAAAGGAATAGTGGGGGGGGAAAGACCAGAAAAGTGCCTTAGCCAGTAACTGACTATATTGTAAGCACTAAGAATTTAAAAAAAATTTGAGGAAAAAAATAAAAAGCAATAGTGCCTCAAAACAATCTCCTTATCCCTTCATGCACTTCTACTACATGCTAACGTTAACAGAGCAGATGTGAGGCCACTCTGGCTACCCTGGGGGCCTTCTAGGAATTTTCCCAAAACATTGGCTTTCTGTGTTTCCTCCACCATGAGGAATGAAGCGGGCAGAGGAATGACAAATTCACTTCTTGCTAGATGCGGCTCAGAATCTGGCACGTAGAGCTGCTTCTACGTTAATGCTAGAACACATAGTTATGAAACAGAAAAGGGAGTATTGGTCACCACTATCCTATTTCTGTTCCAGGTAACATAAATGTTAAACATAATAAGGATTGATGGCCTAATTCAGTCTTCATTTTGTACTAGTATTTATGCCTATTGCTACAAATAAGGATTACTATTAATGATTATAGCAGATTTGATAACGCTATTATTGCTTTTGCTAACTGGTTTCTTCTTTCATAGTGTAGAAGCAAAAGAAAAAAAAAGTAACAATTTGGTCTGTCCCAAGATAAGAAATATCTCCACTGTCCACATTTCAGATAGTCACATTAAACAGAATAGACACATTCAAAATTGCAAGAAGGTACCTAGCTAAGGCCAGTGCCCTGTTTACTCTTTCCTCAAGGCCTGTGGTTCCCAATGCCTTCCACATCAGCCAGAATTTGAATGCATCTGGGCGTCTGCTGCACTGAATGGACTTGTCAACAGCTCTGCTGCCTTGGCAGAGTAACACTTCTTCAGGAGGCCCTATGAGAAACACAATAAAGGCTGAGATGGCTGATATGCATTTTCAAACCTTCTCATCTTCACAAGCCAAAGCATTTTTCCCCTGTGTACCAATTGTTTGGTAAAACACAACCAGGTGTGCAAAAAACTATTCAATGCTTATGGCGTTGCTTAAGAACCCTGGATGAACCCGGATGCAATGCAGTCAGCAAGGTTTTAGCACTGACCGCAACGAACCCCAGATTTACTTCAAAATGTCACTAGAGTTGTAGGTTGAAAAAGAATTATGACTCGGATCTCAAGGAGGCATGGGAGTAGGTACCGCAGAAACAGTTGTCTGAAGAGATAAAATGGGTGGGAAAGAGGGAGAAGAGGAACCTACTTCCACTGCTACTGTTTATAAGCTGGAAGAACAGGCTCCAAGGAGCTGCCTACATGGTAGCTACAAATAGCTGCATCCATGCTTTCTTTCATCTGACAAAGGTCTTTACATATATATACCCAATTGGTTGAAGGCAGGGAAGATTTCACCCCAAAAGTAAGTGTTTACTCTTACCAGAAAAGACAGCCTTTGAAGATTTAGCATAGGTTATCTGACTAATTCACTGGAAACACAAGGAGATTATTAGTATAACCCCAATTTTTGTTTTCTTTCAAAGTTCTGACAGTTTTTAATATTTGAAAATAAGCCTTAGAAAAAGTACTGTAGTGTACCCTAACTCTGGTTTGTTAATGAAATTATTTTTATTCAGCAATTTGTAGGCTCCAACTCTCAGAAGACTGTCTGGGCAGAGATAAGCAGCAGAAAACAAACAAAAAGAAGCGAGTACAGTGGCATGTTTCAGTGAAGAACAAAGCTAGAAGGCAGAAAGCAGGGAGGCTGTTGCAGGTTTAGAGGTAGGGTGCAGGGGAGGAAGAGAGGCATAAGACTGGCCACTGGCTGAAGAATGAAATACTGAAGTATACTCTAATACTATAAAGTAGAGAGAAAGTCTGGCAAAAAGGAGGTTACAAGAGCAGAGATGAGGATGGCCCTATGAGGAGCCTGGGAGACAGGAAGATTTGTGGATTTGTCAGTGCTGTTAAAAATTAGTGAGGAAAAAATGTATAAGATAATACTGGAATAACAATTCAGATGGCCTAAACAACATGGCTACAACATCAGATGCAGATTTGCAAATGTGTGGTTAAGTGGCAAGGAGTCTTCTGTGCCGAGTAGTCCAAGCAACATAAGTGGACAGCATGATAAGTTGCTAAACAGTATCTCAAAGAGCACAATTCATTTTTTAATTTAACTCCATTCTTCAATTTGAACCATCTGAAAGACCATTTCATATTTTATTGATTTCTCTGCATCTGCTGCAAGTTTGATTTTGAAATGGCAGATAGCACCTAACACCACTCTTGAACACATCCATAAAGAGCGGGTACAGGTTTTAATCTGCATTACAATACACTACTGATAACTTCAGAACTGGCAATAAAATAAAGAGGAAAAAAGACAAAGAAAACCAAAGAACGCAAAAATGACACAAGTTAACCACTGGCATATACAGAATAAAATCTCCCTCACTCTTCAACCTCTCCATCAATAACAAACAAACAAAAAGTACTCTATGCCTATTGGTAGAGGACAAAAGGAGAAAAACAAAAACAGTGAAGAAGGCTTCTTCACAACTTCTGCAGGCGGTTGACAGTCCAATTGTAATATCCCTGATCTGCAGAAAGGGCAGCAAATTCTGTCCGAACTCTCCAGCCACCGGGCCAGGACATTCAGCCTTGTAAAAAGACAATTTGAGTGACACCTTGGGAAAAAGAGGGGCAGTGGCTGACATCCCCCTGCAATCAGAATGATAACGTGCTGCTGCTGCAGCGCGCTGTAGCAGTAGCTGAAAAGCCAATGCTGGGCCCTTTTTTTGTAGGATCTCTTTCTGAAAAAGCTGGAAAGTGTGGTGAGAAAGTCCAGAGTACAATAGAAATGAAAGTGGCAGGGGGGGAGGGGAACGACACACACTGAAGCATCCAGCTTTTCCTGTTTCTATAGCTTTTTGTTCTCCTGGCTGCACACCAGGAATAGGAATCTGTTTGTTAAGCCATTATATCATATTCATTTGTATCTCCATACCTCCTCCTTTCAGGTGAATATCATGTCTTTTGCAAAAGGGGTAGCAACACCCATAAATTGAAGTTAATTGCTTTGTCTCTTACTAAAATCTTGCACAATGTTTCTGCAGTGAGTATACAGCAGGGCTGATCAGTGTGGAATTATCTTCTACATTATTAGAATGTAGTGTAACCGCATAATAGAGGACATCATAGGATATTAGTTCTGCTCATGTCTGTCTTAAGGGAAATACCTTTTTTTGTCACAAGAAACCATGTGATAACACTACAAAAAGCCTTAGAAGTTTATTCAAGAGCACAGCGCAGCTGCAGAGCTTCATTGTTCAAAAAACGAATGCTCTCAAGTTAAAACCCAACAAATATTCACAGTTAAATATCTTGACTGAATTCAAATTCCAGGGAAGACCTTTCTTAAAAAAATAATAGTAATAAAGTTTCCAAAGAGGTGGGTACTCTCCTACTCTTCCAGTACATCCAAAGCTGACACAACATGCTGGCTAGAACCCCTTTTCCATCTGCTTATCTTGCTAATAATACAATATACAAAAAAAATCCTGCTG